GTCGCGGCAGCCTGTACAATCTCTTTTTGTTTTGAATGACATGCTATATCTCCATCTGAACATTGGTGTGCAAAATAGTATGTTTTTTTTTCATGAAATTTGTTATCCCCTGTAGAGTGTAGTGGTTACACTGCCAAGTTAGAATTGAATTGATACTTTGGCCTTATCTTTCTTCAACATTACATTTTTGAATTTACTTCATTATCATTCCTACTACTCCAGAAACACCATTTTATAGCGTAACATGATTTTATGGAAAATTAATATCAAAATTTATCAACGAAAAAACCGAACATAATACGTAGCAAGTATTTCTATTTCGGGCACGAATAAATTCTTGGCAAAGACGGCCCATACTTGAAATAAGAGACCTTATGTCATTTTGGTCCAGGTCTTTCCAAATTTGAATCAGTCTCTGTCGAACGTCTTCCAAAGTATTCAAGTTACGTTCCTCTTGTAATCTTCTCCCAAGACTGTTTTTCCTTCCTCTCGAGACCCCGAGGTTCTCGTTAATAATTTCAAGTTTTTCTACGAGCGAATGCGCATGCGTCCATGAGGTATCACGTGGTGACCAATGACATAAAATCCACGAAAATTTTCCGTTTCAAGTTGCGACCATAATTCTTTTACAGAATATATTGTGCAAGAATTGGCATACAGTCTTCACAAAGAATAATATTACTTCCGATTTTGATATAAAATGTTCCTTCAGAATCGACGATTTGATGTTATTTTATTGGGAAAAGATGTTCTGTTATATTTATTCAGTGTTCAGTGTGTTTAGATATATGATTCAGTTCAACGGCATTTGTGATGGGCAAATTGATTCTTCACTTTTTCACTACTTGATTTTATGCAATTGATTATGTTAAGTGATATTTTTCAAAAAAGTGTCACTTGGATTTGTCGAAATTAGAAAAATTTTGTTCAAGTTGATGATACCACTGAGGATATTTTAAAACCACCATAAAACCTATCTATCATATAATTATCATTCAGATTATTTGACCTGGGATCCATAACCTTAAAATTTAGTACTTATTTACCAACAGAAAAAATAATTTGATGAATTGTATCCAGGAATTTAATTGCTCAAAATCTAGAGAAATGATTAGGATATTTGTAGACTCCAAAATTTCCTTTATGCTTATATGTTTCTGGATGTTTCAGGGATCATTCTGTGAAAATGGTTTTGAGTTTAAAGCATACATACCTTATGCCAATGCTATAGGTGACTGCGATCTAGATATCAACTCATAGTGAACTTGTTTTATATGCCGCAAAGTATTGTGATATGTATTTTCATATAAAAGTAAGTAAACGATTTTAGTAATTTCTTAATCTACCTATCCATGTTGAGGAATTATACTAGATTATAATTGACCGCCAGAGCTAGAATTGTTCTGATTGGTCTAAAAATGCGTCAGTACTAAAAAATCATAGTTGTTTGCATTCTTGCCAAACTTGCAGCTTGCTTGCTTCTCACTACATGGAGTCAAAACCAGCAGATTATGATGTTTGGCATCATTGCAACAGTTACGAAATTCTAAGTTCACGTATAGACTATATGGGCAGGTTTTTCAATCCATCGAAAAAAGTGCGCACTGGTAGATGCACTTTTTTGTTGTGACGTCACAAATTGTTCTTGCTGGAACGATGGAACAATGGAATATGCAACAACTGATTTCGTTGTGTATCGGTCTGTCATGTATCTTCAGAATCAGAAGAGCCTGATATGATTTTATATAGATTTTATTGATTAGCAATAACTAAATCTTCTAAAATCTCTCAAGAATCTCAAAAATCCTCAACATTTTCTGTTTTCTCGCATATCGAAACGAAGAACAATACTTACAATGTGTCAATTGTCATGTCAGGCTCCTCTAAACCGCTTGATTCTCGCAAAGCGATTTGAAATGTGCATTTTATTACAACAGTTTGATGCATCAACATTCCAGCGGAATTTCACAACAGTTTCATGGTTTCTTCGATTCATGCGCATAACAAAATGTTGAAATGAAAAACGCACCCTATAGACTGAGAGCAGACTTTTACAGTATGTAAACTCTATATTGTTGCAAGGTATACTCTTGTTGGGATTATCATGGGTATATGCTATTTCACCTGCCGTAGGTGAAATGGGGATTCACTATCTTTGTCGACGGTTCCTTTGGACGTGCCCAGGAGTCAAAAAACGTTAAAAATTACTTAAAAAACGTGATCGCAGCAAGTCTGCCGATTTAATATCTCAAAGTATATAGATTTTTTTTTTAGTAAAAAATTCAATGGCACACTTATTCCGGTTCTAAGTATGCTTTATAGATTTTCAAAACTTCAAATGTTAACAATCAGAATTTTTCTTATTTTTTACACTTTAACACGTTGACGGACACCGACGGACATGCCTATCGTTGAATGTGCCCTTGATGCCGTCCTTGTATTATTTGCATTTGTAATGGACCAACAGTCGATTTTACACGTAGAATGGTGTAAAGTGTCCGAGTAAACAAAAAAGGCGTCTATTCAGTGTCCCTCCTGACAGAAAAATGTCTCTTGTGCCGACTGCTATAGGACACGACGGCCATAGCCGTCGTTCTGTTTTTTGTGTGAAAAAATGCAAAGAAATATGCATTCTCACAATACATCATGCTTTGACCTAATATTTGTTAAATTCGTGCTTATTTGACACCCCCATTGGCATAGGTATCCGTTCAACGTGTTAATTTGATTATTGAACTTGATTATATTCTGATCTGCTTATAAACCAAATTGGTCGATACATGAGTATTTCTCTCATTACGAATATGCCTCAGAAATATACTTTCACCATTTCTGTCAATAGTGCAAGCATGTTCATATCTCGGTGGTATTCAAGGTAACTAATTTTGAGCCATCTGACCTCAAAGGCACTATCAAAGCTATCGCATTGTGAAGGTCACATAAAATTCCTACTCAATCGGACAGAAACATATTTTTTTCATTCAAAAAAGGTTCAAAATGTATAGTGTATTTTCAATAAACAATCATTTTGACAGGATAACATGTATTGCGAGATAAAGAGTATGAGCAAGAATCAATATTGTTCTACTACATTAGTACGACAGAGAAAACATATATCGTCTGCATTCTGCCCGCATGTTGGAACAGACCTATGTGTCTGCTTCTACAAATATACAGGGTGTCTGCAAAAAGTAGGTCAATCCATTAACCATATATTCCTTGAACAAAAACAATATGGGTTTCTAAATACCATTTTTCATTTTAGCACTTCATATTCGATTTACAGGGTATCAAAGTTGGAAATTAAAAACTGTTTTTATTTAATTCCTCGCGTATTTAATAAGATATTAATCCAAAATTGGTACATTACTTCAGCACAAAGAGTTACATCGTGTGAGGTAAACAAAACAGAGATGAGATTACTGTAAACCGCATAGGCATCAAACAATAACCAGTACTTTTCGAATTATCTTGAAAACAAATGATTTTATCGGAATTTTACAGGAGACAAAAAATACTCAAAAATTAATGAACACTTGAAGAAAAATAGATAGGAAATCATTAGCGCACGTACAAAAAAATATGGGGGTAAGTGTGTACTTGACCCCCAGTATTTTGAATATTTGACAGTTATTTCCTGTTTTGTTTTCCTCACACGATGTCGTAACTCTTTGTGCTGAAGTAATGTACCAATTTTGAGATCAATATCTTATTGAATACGCGAGTAATTAAAAAATAACAGTTTTTGATTTCCAACTTTGACACCCTGTATATCGAATATGAAGGGGTAAAATGAAAAATGGTATTTAGAAACTCATATGTTTTTGTTCAAGGAATATATGGTTAATGGATTGACCTCGTTTTAGCGGACACCCTGTACATTTATATGAATTATAATAATGTAAATAACATATTTGAATTTCAGCTCTGTTGAAATGATATGTATAATGATTATGTAAATAACATATTTGAATTTCAGCTGTGTTGAAATAACGCATTTTTTAATAAAATTTTCCAAGTTTTGAAATTCTATATAAGTGTCTGTCGACTGGGATAGAATCCCCATTTCACTTACAGCAGGCGAAATAGTATACCTAGCTTCAATATGGAGTTTGCTAACATTGGTTTGTCTGCCGATCGGATCGTTGGCTTTTAAAATTGGTAGCACTGTCACAAAGTACACTTACTCGTTGATACTTTCCAGTCACGTGACGTCAAACGCATCAAAAAATCGTTTTTCTGTTGTGTTGTTTGTTTTTGATATTTTTAATGAGTGTGCAATTTGTGAGTAGTCCCAAAAATGTATTAGAGTGAATCGAGAAGAACAGTTGGCAACCCTGTTGAAGAACGAATAATATATGAAAATATGTCCTATCAATGGATCATGAATACCTAAATTAGGTTATGAATTGAAAATGAACCAATATATTTTAATAAGTATATATTTATTATTAGTCTTATGATTAATTCATAGAAATTTCAAACAAGTCAATACTCCAATAACTAGAATAATAGTTTACATTTCTTCAAGTTATGTACACATCATATTAAAAAATATTCTGTTTTCATACAAACTAGCACACCTAAACGTCATGAAATTGTTTCAATGAAGATGTATAGAATTATGGTGGAACTGATTCTCTAAAATACAGGGTGTTTGCAAAACTGGAACAATATTAATGAAATGAGGTGTTCTATGAGACATAAAGACAAGAATTTTAATTATTTTTTGTATTAAAAAGAAGATCCGTTCTCCTAATATACCTTTCAAATATATTTGAACTTTCAGCACCGTAGCCAAAAGTACTTGATACTTCCGGTGCTTCTGACCAAGATGAAAGCAAACGCTAGGGTTTGGTTATTAATCTCTGATCAATCATTACAAAAATTCCATTCAAACTTAAATTCAATATCTTCCGACGAAATTCTTTCACTTTGTCTAGTTCGTTTTTCATAACACATTTCATTTATAGCTCCGATTTCGGAAACACCTTATATATAAGCATTTCAGTTTCTTTTTCACTCAAAACAGCCTATATACTAAATTTATAGAACAGCCTTGATAATGATTTGAAATCAATTGACTGACTGCAGTTAAGACAGCAATAATAAATTATTCAGTTGACAGCACTATGCTGTCAATAGTTTTGGATGAAGAAAAAACACTTTATTCACCATATTAGATGCATCTTGGTTTCAACTAATGACAATCAATACAAGGTTGAAAACAAAAATAAGCACAGTGGGTGTAGGTTATTACTAAGAATGAATAATTTCAAATATCACATGTTTCTTATCTTAACAGTTAAGAGTTCCTCAAAATATTCAGAAATATTTACAGGGGACGTATCAAAATCAGAAGTTTTGTTCAAATTATTTGCACTTTTTTGTTCAAATCCATTCATTCTCACAGCTGTTAATACATGTCATTTTGATTGTTGTTGTAGACCATTTCCTGAAATAAAAAATATGCATAACATGGGAGTGTGAAATGATTGTAGCTTTTTACAGCTCTTAAAAATACTAGGGGAGTGCTATAGTTATTTGTATGAGTAATAGCCAATGTGCGCTAGTGAAATACTTTTTCAACTATACTACTACTACTATTAGTTCAATTTTTCAATTCGTTTTTTATTTTCAAAACCTGATTGCAGTAGGCATAGAAAATGCCAGTTTTTTTTAGTCTTGAATTTCTGCAATGGCAACTGTTGAACATTCAGTACATTACATTTCTGTTCGTTTATTGAAGTTCATAGACATTAGTTCTACAAAGTTGCAAAATGCTAATTACACAGAAATGCTAAGGCATAATGTCTACTCTACTCTACTCTAATGCAAGCCAAGCAATATTTCATGTTTTGATAATCAGCCTTTCCAGTAATTTCAACAAAAAAAAATCAAAATACCGGGTAACACAGTTGACATGTAACAGCCTGTAGTTTTTTTATTTGAAGAGATGAAAATTTGAAATTTACAAAGGTTATATTATCGATGATGGCGCTTCCCTTGAAGCCAATGAAAATTTTCTTCAACCACCTGTTTGATCGGAAAAAGGCCCAACTTTTTTTTTTCATATAGCACCCTGTATATTTCTGTAGCCTATTTTATTTGCCTTGAAATTCTCTATTCAACTATGTATCACAATTTGATATTCGTTCATTAATGGGGGAGACCACTGATTTTTTAAAACGACATTATCATGAACTCTATACTGAAAAACTACAAGTGAATTAATTTTGAATTTTGTCATTCATGCTATGACGATGAAAACAATGAATTTGAATATGTCCATTTCAAAACACACAATTCCTGCGCCATTTAAATTTTTGTCAATTCATTGGTGTGACTGTTGCGACGTCTTAGTTCCAACACGCCTATTGCCCTTGAACTGACCAATCACATTGCAACACTGCAGAATGACGAGGTATCAGAGAGGGATAGCTACAGTTCGGGACTAATACGTCACGGCTCCACCATCATATTTGGCTAATTGAAATATCGAATGAAATAATAATATGCTGATTTTAAAACAATATAGATTCGATTCCCTTCTACTTCAACTCATAATATTGATTGTACATAAAACGTAAATCATGATTCGTCGATTGAAAGAGGTTTGCACGGATTTCTTTCCTCAGTGGTCTTCCCCATTGGCTGTTGAATTGCATTTCATTGAAATACATGAAGTTGGCTGTGACCGGAATGCAATGACATTTCGATGCTTGATAGGCTTAGAAATCCATAGATCATTACTTGGACGATATTATCAGGATATTTTCCATACCCTTATCGGTCCCAGAAGATGGCCAATAATTTCATTGTTTTAAAAAAATCATCCGAAAATGACGATATTGAGGAAAGTAAGATAGAAACGTAGTTTTTTCTATTTGGCTACTTGTGAAGAAACTATTTGTCTTTCATTTTTGTCATGTAGCCATAATATGATCATTCATTTGGATACATGAAAGTGAAATTGTTGTTATAGATGTATCTTTCTAATATCGTGAGTTATTTTCGGATGATTTTTTCAAACTCAATGAAATTATTGGCAATCTTCTGGGACCGATTAGATTAGGGTATGGAAAATATTCTGATAATATCGTCTAAGTGATGATCTTTGGATTTCTAAGCCTATCAAGCATCGAAATGTCATTGTATTCGGGCCACAGCCAACTTCATGTATTTCAATAAAATGCAATTTAACAGCCAATTAATGAACGAATATCAAATTGTTATACATAGTTGAATGAAGAACTGCTGTGCAGGTTCTGTCAGGAAGAGGAGGAAACAGCAGTACACATACTTTGCCACTGTGAGGGCTTGTCAAGACTAAGGTTCCTTACGCTGGGTGAGGAAAAACCAGAAGCCCAGAGATACACAGGGGATCTGAAAGCTAGCCTATGGAGTCTCATAGAGAAGACGGGGCTAGCCGAAGAACTCTAATCGATTTTGAGGACAGACACAATAGATCTGAAAAGGTCGCGGTGTGGAGGCAGATAGCCCGAAGGCCCCATTCTAAATCTAATCTAATCTACATAGTTGAATAGAAAATTTCAAGGCGAATAAGATAGACTACAGAAATATACGAGGTGCCATTTATGAAAAAAAAGTTGGGTCTTCTTCCAATCAAACAGGTGGTTGGAAAAAATTGTCATTGATTTCAAAGGGAGCGCCATCATCTTGGCTCTGGAATACCTTAAAATAATTGTTTGAGATTTTTTTCCATCAATTCATCATATAAAAGATTATTGAAAACGCCAAAATGTACTAGCGAATTCAAAGGATCCGACATGGCCATGGTTTATATAGCCATCTGATTTTCCAATAGTAATGCTCATTTATTAAAACAGAGCTGTCATTGCTTGACATTTGACATTTCATGGGAGATGAGATTTCGTGAAATATTAACACAATGAAACCATTGTGATATCAGATACGGAAATAAAATCGATGACATACAAAGTACCTCTTTGATTTGTCAAACACTGTAAAACAATAGCAATTTTCTGTTATAACCGAAGAAAAAAACTTACTTTCTCTCTCATATCGCCTCAACGCTTCTTCCCTTTCAGTCGCGTCAAAATACCATAACGTAATAGCGTAACGGGTATTGAAGGCAGGTTGAACTTCATGGGGGTTTCTTCTGTCCGACCAGAAGAATAGCAGTCGGTCAAAAAGGGGCTCAATGTCTGCTACCTGGAAAACAATGTTTTTGTTTTCATTCAAACTGATATTGCATTTTCATTTTTCTAGATATATTATTGAAAATTTGTGTGCTATTTGTTGGCAGCAGCTACTGTCAAATTGACTTTCATTAATTGAATGTTTCTTGTCGATTCAAGAAATTGATCTTGCCGAGGATCTTGCTCTTGTAAAAACGAAATGATTTCAACAGTAGCGCCGATTTTATTCACATTTGACACCTTTGTAGCCAACCTCACAATAGGTCGCGTGCACGATGACTGACCCTGGAGGCAAAATATTGAAACACAACCTCATTCTTCTGTGAATTATTGAAACACAACCTCACTTTTTTACTTGGTTACAGAGGAATCAAAGGATTGAAATAGTTTTTCACAATATTTTGGCATAAGAATCGTGTTTTTTGCGCTATTCATTAATTCGAGCATGCCTTCGCATTGTGCTGTTGTACAATGCACAAAAAATGCAGCAGGAGACTAAAGAATATGATTTTTCAGGTAAATAGTAATCTCACATAGTTATCATTATGAAATGTTGTCATTCCTTATTAAAATTCCTTCTGCCTTCTGTCACTTCTGCAATACAAGCTAATACTGCTAATAGATTGAAAATGTCTACAACACACACGATCGTCAGCATGTCAGACCAGTCCTCCCGATTGATTGCATGAATCCAATTTTCTTGCATTATTTTAGAAATTTCAGATGTATTTCTATTAGCTCCTATCACTTGTAAACAAAAAAGAAAGGTGACGTTGTGTTTCAATGTTTTGCCTCCAGCGTCGGTCATCTGACAGTTCTTGCACGCAACCCATACAAAATGTCTAACCCATGAAAATATTGTCAATTTCCATGAAATTAAGTTGTGTTTACTGGACAAACTGAATGGTGAGGAAATTCAAACATCATTTTGAAGACTAAATACAAATATCTAACTGATAACTACATGACAGAATAATGGAAAAATTCAGCTATGAATATAAAATCAAAGACTGATTTATACAAATTTTCATTCACAAATATCAATATAAGTTGTACAAAAAAGAGGTATTCCGGATCTTCATATATCTCGTCGAATATCAACGAACATTGCATTTTCCATGTAGATCATACCATTGAGAGATTGCAAATCAAAATGTTCATTTCATAGGTATTAAAAGTGTCATAGGAGGCATCGGCAATACCACTAATTATTTCTAGGGTTATGTACTGGAATGCGTCAACAAAACTCACTTTATCTTCTCTCCAGCCTTCAGGAAATATTCTCAGTAAACCCCCACTCCTTTGTACATCCCAATTGAGATTGAGGTAGTATATTCCTGTTATGCATCTGCCGTCCCTATTTGGATTGTCAACGTGTTTGACATAGTGAGACCCTGATCCTGGGTAACATGCAACCATTGCCTGAGAAGAAAAATGAAGGATTTTCAATAACACCTGAATAATATACAGGCTGATTTTAAAATGAGTGCATATATTCAAGACATATATATGAGAGAGTCTAACAAAAATTACTAAAATATTTGATTTTTCCTAAGTCTTCACATTAACGAGAAATTTCATTTTGAAAATTGAACATAAAATGCTTCGAAATTCGAGTACGCCACTGGGAAGCAAGTGAAATCTGCGGAATCCCAGGGAATCCCCAATTCGTCATTCACTAACGTCAAAACAAGACAGTGATGCCAGATTGTTTCAGAGACGAATATCCTGATAAAAATTTGTCACAATTCAATTTCAGAAAGCGTCGAAATTGTATTTTAGAATTGTCCCTTGTATTTCGGAAAGCATCAATTGTATTTCAGAATAGTCCCCTGTATTTCGGAAAGTCATTAGGAATCTAAATTAATATTTACAACACTTCTCACGTTTTTTTTTATGTAAATATTATTTACACAAATTTATTATAAGCAGTAAACCGCAAATCATAAGGGAACATTTTGAGACAATTGAATTTTTATCGCAAAACTTGATTGCTAATTTATAAATTATTGAATAACTAATATTCCTGAAGTTTCCAATCGTATTTTAACACAATTGTATTTCATAATGTGTCATTTGAATTTCAATTGATATTTTCTGAAATACAATTGACACTAACTTTCTGAAATTGAATTGACTATTCTGAAATACAAACGGAAAATGTGTAGTTCAACTAGGCTGTCTAGAATAATGAAAATAAAATGTCTACTTAGGGTTTCAGATCCAAAAATGAAATTGAACAGTGGATACCAATCTTGTAAAGTTCTATTCTATGCAATCAAATCAATAAAGTTTATGGAAAGGCATTCGGTCAATGTAGAAATTGACAAAGGATACTTTGAGAGATTAATCCATTTTCAAGAAAATACTAAATTAACTTCAGATAATTTTATGGCTACTAGTTCGGACACTGGTCAGTTATAACATTGATTTTAGTAATATTTTGGTGGTTTATAATTATTTGACATTTTTTCATAGAATGTATTCATTGTCATTATTCAATTCATCAAGTGTTTTTCTCACACATTCCTTAGTTCATATCATGACAGATTAGATATCGATATATTTTATACATTCAGAGGGATAACCATGATGAACATCTTGATTCAATCGGAGATATAATTAGACAAAAAATAAGTAGCATCAGATACGAAATATACGTGAGGTACAGACAAAAAACAACAATAATCGTTTCATCTCATTCTAAATCGCTTGAGAATAAGACTGACTTGAAGCTTAAAGCTCTTTATCCAATTATATAATCTATAATTATATTAATCAAAGAAGAGGGAAAAAGTTGTATTCTAAAGTAGTTATTAGGAATGAGAATCTCACTGGTATCCAGGCGCCCTACTTAGATGAACAATGAGTATTGTATTCCGGGTGATTCTCTAAGGTGAATCACCTCTATAACTTTTTTATCAAATTGGAAACTGTTTTTATAATAGTATATTATGTAACAAGTGTTATAAACGTCCTTTTAGTAACGAGTATTTTAAGCACGAGCGGAGCGAGTGTTTAATAAACGAGTTTCTAAGAGTTTATAAACGCGTTACATACTATGCTTTTTCTACGAACTCCGAAAATTACATTAACATATACCTGCTATTCCTGCTAACCTACAAAATAATTCGAATGGAATGGAAATGGAGAACATAATACATGCAACTGCATCCAACCAGCGAGACACGTATAAGTGATATTGGTTGTAGATGTGTCCAGTCCATTGCTTACTAACCTTTGTTTCACGTTTATTGTCATGCTTAGCGCAGAATAAATAAATTGTTCTCAAAGATGGATGCTTCATTTTCACACTTCTTGGAGATATGCAAGTACCAGAACATTCTCTTCGATTTCACTTTCGTCTACTTTTCGCATATATTTTTAATGAAGAATTCTGATACAAACGAATATTGTTTTGAATAATTCTGATACAAAATTCGAAAATAACAGTTGACAGTTGATACAATTGACAGGCCAGACATGTCTCAAATTACTGAAGCTGTGTTTAATGAACTGCGTTGCCATGGTAATGTGTTTAAGAAATCGTGTTGCCATGGTAACGTGTTTAATATTTTGAATAAATCACAGATCGACAATCCGTGATTAATCGATCATTTAGCGTGGTACATATCCGTACGTTAAATGCCATTTTAGTTATGTGAGTGAATCAGAATTGTCTGATAATCAACACATCATTATTAACACATAAGTATGACATTTCTCATCCTTGTTTAATCATCTTTTAATTATTCAGGAATAATTTGCGAGTTTTATTCGTGAATTTTGTGAATGAAACTATGAAACAGTATATCGGTGAACTCATCGAGAATGTATCTATCAAATGATATAAAAATATTTAATGTGTTCTATTTAAAATAAGGAAGTTGATAATAATTCCGGAAAAACTGAAAACGTGGCAACTTTGGCGATATAATTTTTCGAACCGCCACATTTCCAATTCACCATGTATGAACATTCAGAACGAGCTAACGACTGGCTACTGAGATATATGGATGGTATACATAATTGATTAACTCTGTATACCTATGCTAGCCCATGCCATTCTATGCCTTTTCATGGGTAGGCCCTTAAAACGGTCAAAATTCCGTTTTCCTTGTTGTGAATACGTGCGTTTTATCACGTCGTCCCTATTTCTGAAAGTGGGTCACTGTGTCAATAACCTTCACATTAGTATACCTATATCAATATAAACCGAACGAAAAAAGGAGTCGCCTACACATTTCGAATGTTTGTTTCTCAATAGTCTGAATTTCTCAAAGTCTCACAGTCCCACAGAATGAATACATCTCCAAGAAATTTATATTTATTGTTTGATTTCGCCAAACTTTTCTTCGATATGTAACTAAAGGATGTGTGATACTTTTTTCCACAAAAATCAAGGCCTATAACTACAACTGCATACATTTTATGAAGTCTAAAATTCGTATACTTATAAGCGATATCTGTTTACAAAAGAAACCAATTTCGCGATTCCATTTTTTTTTGCATAGGAGTACTACCCACAGGATCTCTTTGGCATATGCCAAATACTACCAAAAAATCAGATTTACACATCAACTTTCTCCCTTTCTATTCCATGGGGGTGAGTTAACCTCGGCGTTAACAGGAAACATTGATTAGTAAGAACAATGTGTGATTAGTTTTGTTCCTAAAAAGAACGATGTAAGTAAGTACAGAATGAAAATTTAAAACATAAAAATTGTTTAAGATTTGGCATGTCGCCCGATAAGTGTTTTTATTGATATCTAATAGATAGTCTAATGACTCCAGACATTCGTAGTGCGAAATAGTTATTTATGTATTAAGAGGAGGGTTTCACTAAAATGGTTTAGCAGACCCTTTTTCATTTGACCTTTCTGGCCTTGTCATGAATTCAATCTCAAAACTAATTGAATTATCGTAAAGAGGAAGGTTCAAATTCGGGAATCAGTATTTTTCGGAGTCAAAACTCGTCCATTGAAAAAAGTTAGGGGTCTTTGAAAAATGTAAACATTGAAAATTTTTGTGTCTCAGATTTTAATAAAATTACCTCATTGTATGGAACCAAAATTTAGGAATGCGTTACCAAAATATCAGCTCCTGGAATGTCTCCATTCGAACAAAAACCTGAAATTTGACACAAGGACGCCATTTTTCGATTATTAGGTTTGGTTTCGTTGCAATATCCTTCGAAGATAAAGTAGGAAACATGAATTTGGTAGTTCGGACCGGTTCGGACCCTACCTAATAGATGGCGGTACACACTCATCTTGCTGTAATTCTGTAATCTTGCAACTTCGGCACTGCTAACTGAAATTTCATGAGATGTTGTATTCACATAAAACCAACAGATGGCGATCGCGTCGTTCCGCGTTTTTTATATGATATTACCTACGTTTGAGCCTAAAAGGAAATTTTAAAATTTTTCGTATTTGAAATAAATTCAAATGGAAACCGAAACGCTTTGTTTGGTCCGTAGAATCGTGACCTCAGAACTCATTATATTTGTGACATTGTTTACATTTGAGTCAAGTTTCAAGTTGGACTATTATTGTTGGAATTCATCAAAAATGATAATCGCTTCAACGCAGGTGAATTCCAGAATGTGAAAGCAATAAAGTAAGTAAACACTTGGATTTCGATATTGAAAGTACCCCGAGTATGTTTTTTTTTTAGTATGAAAAGGCGTTTTCAGATATCTCATTTACCTCAAATACCTACAATGTAAAATGAAAATAGAATGTCAATCATGCCAATCCGTATATTAAAAATTAGGTCGGAATGGTTCGATACGGTTCACAGCGAGCGCACTGCAAACAACTAATACTGAAAAGTACGATCGATACGTTGGACGGCCAGCAGAGCTTGGCCGCACCCAAGGTATGACGCGTATAAGCGAAAATTTAAACTTGGAGCGGGGAATCTGTAGGCGATGCCTGTGGCGATGCGTCGAGACAAGAAATCACCGATCGGCCGGCCGTCTGCATCAGTGTAATGAGCTACGCGAGCCGTTCAACTGAAAGCGGCGTTTTGACGATGGGATTACCAGATGTCGTAGGTCCTGAATTAGTTCGTGATTTTCGGTGTATATGCGGATGGCATACTCAAAGGTTCCATGAATGAAATTCAAATAATAGTGGCATAACAGTAGGATAATGAGCGATGAATTATGAAAACAGTTTCGGAAAATAATTTTATTCATCAAATAGTTCAGTAATTTTCCCCAAATTATTTGGTACGGCCCGGCCGACCCTGCCGTCCCTGACGAGCCGTCACTGAATTAGAGTGTCAAAAATAGGCATAAATACGTATTCAGAATGAAATTTTATCTTCCTCAACACTGTGAAACGTGATTTAGGGTCAAATCAAAACAGGCAACAAAAAATTATGAAATTAAAAAATTACCATGACAATGTTGA